ATAGTTATTGAAACAGGGTTCTCAAAAGACTCGCTCTAGTCATACTAGGTTGTCGACGAAACATTGCTCTAGATATTTAGCTCACGATGAGTACTTCCACGCTACTAGATCCATCCATGCTAGAACGAATCTTCCACGCGTTCCGTTTAAGGATCGTGGAGATACGTAGGATTACTACTACCGCAACCTACTCTATCTGACACGTTTATAGTTCCTCGCGGAGGACCATCTATCGATCTGATGGTGATATCTCTCTCGTTGATTTTTTTTCATAGCTTTCTAACTCTCTCATAACTTTCATTCTCATCAAACATCAAAAACACTCGAAAGATTTTACACTAGCTTTTAGCGTATTGAATTTTGTTAACAAAAACAATAGATTTCAGCTACCATAAACCTATTCCTTCACCATGAAGATTGCTTAAGGAAAGCATGCGTTCACACCACCATCCCACTCCACGAGAACACAAGTTCGATGACAAATCTCTTCTTTCCTCTCGTCGCAAACGAAGACGGAATCGCTGATTCGCAATCACGAGAGACTCAGTCATGAGTCGAACTCAAACCCTATCTAGGATCGAGTCGCGAATAAGGCTAAGAGCCGTGTATTGCAGTGGCTCCCCTATGTGATTGTCTAATTCGAAGAAGGCCGGAGTCATATGAGGCAAAAAGGACAACGAACGATTTTGTTGGATCGGATTGCAATCTGGCAAGTAGCCTATCTGCTGCTGTCGCCTCCTGATGGGATACTTGAGAGATGGTACCGTCTGGCTTCACCAAAGACAAGACCACTCCTTGATGCAGACTCTTCCTTAGAGATTCGATTTGTTTCGAAGTTAGAGATGAGCCTGTCCGTTCATAAAGTAAAGTCTTAACAACACTTGGCGAGAGATGGTTCTTTAGGCATTGTTCCGCTAGTGTAACGGCTTCTGTGCCAAGATGAGTACTTAACACTTCTTTCACTTGTGCCTCTTCCAGTTGTACATGGCCACGATGAAGCTTGTTGCCTGTCTGGAACTTGGGTAGATATCATCGTCTGTGTTCCTGGCTATATAGAACATTGAAAGAGAATGGACATTTGACACCCTCCCCCTCAACAGGAAGCTGAGTCTGGGTGGTTTTGTTGCTCTCCTTTTGGGACCTTTGTTTGTAAAAACGACTCCTTGAACAACATATGGTAATGTGATTCCGCCTCTTATCGAATCCCTTGTTTTTGATACGGAATCCAGCAGTCTTGCAAGAAAGTACAAAGTATGGCATCAAAACTTCTTTAATATGCGCCGAATCACAAGATTGATACATCGAAGGTAGCCAATACACCGTCGATTTCTCCATTCGATAATTATCGAACCCCAGAGTATCCATAATGTTTATCTCCTTTGGTGTATCATCAGTTAGTGAGGTTGCTACATTCACAATGATTGAAGCAGGAGTCCATTCTTCATCATTGATATTGTATCTAGCAACATGGGAGAGTTCAGATAGGTAAGAGTCCATTTTACTTGATAAGCTGTCAGGTATTATGGCCTTAACAGTGCATCTTCCTCTCTGCCTCCCAAACACCTAGCAAAACACCTGGCAAAAAAACTTAGCAAAAATTCGTCACTATGTATTATACGTAAAACATGTACAACACATAATACATGTAATACGTATAATATTTTTCCACTTGTGTTACTTGTGTTGTACGTATGACTTGTCTAATACATATTAAAAAGGTTATATGTGTAATACGTATGATCTGTAGAATACATAGTGAAAATGTTATACGTATAATACAACTGCGTTACAATTCTGTCCAAGAAATTGGATCTGGTATTTTAAAAAAATGTGAGAATGCGAGCCTTCGCCGGGCTAGATACCGGTACGTGACCTCGCTTCCTTTAAGCATCAAGGACCAGTGGTCACGAGAAGGCCAAGGGAAATGACCTGCCTGTGCTTCTGTATTCCCAGGATCCACGTTTCATACATGTATGATGCAAATGCGCCTGTCTCGCTTGATGCATACAGTCGTACCGCGCTGGTACCGGTACCGTTACCGGTACTGGCCGGGGGGTGGCTCGAACCGACTGGTTTTTGTCCCTTCCTTTCTTACCCCACCTTTCTGACAGTTTGGCAAAGACGTTTCCGTCTTTAACCCATTTTAGCCATCTTTATTCGCTTTCAACCGCCTGCAAACGCCTTCAACCACCTGTTTTACCACCTTTTTTACCGCTTGTTTACTGTCTATTTACCGCTTTTCTCTTACCACTCTGGACCGCCTTAGTTACTAGACCACTCTTCACCACCTTTTGGCCATCACATGTTTACAAAGTCCAGGTGGTTGGCGATATAAGAGCATGCAACACCGGGGTACCCCAAATCACAAAACCCAAATGGTTGGAGGTTGACCATCCTCGCTGCTAGACTATGCTTGCTCGCGAAAGAGAACACTCAACGCTCCTATGGTTATGTTAGAATGATGTCATTGATGATGTGGCAATTCTTCTCCTTAAGTAAATTTGAATCCAATGAGTTAAATCGGTTTGGGTCGGCTGTTTGGGCTGCGCAAACAGCTCGGATTTGCGCAAGCCACATGGTCGCTAAACCCATTTGATTCAGTTGACTCAGGTCGGCCGGCGATACTCGATGCCAACCATTTGGGTTTTGTGATTTGGGGTACCCCGGTGTTGCATGCTCTAATCAAACACATCAGGTTGATTTGAGGCACCCCCCGGCCCGGTACCAGGACCGTCCAACGTTTTTCACTCAGGACCTCTGTGGAAACGTCATTCGTGGCAAATTACTTAAGAGAGGATACACCGAGGCTTAGGAGACGATCGAAATGATTTAGGAGACGAAAGCAATCGTCTCCTATATTTAGGAGACGATTCATTAGGAGACATTCCATTTAGGAGACGATAGTTTCGAAATAGGAGACGATCCGAAAGATTTAGGAGACGATACCATACAGTTTACATGGTGTACTTAGGAGACGATCAGTTGAGAATAGGAGACGATCCGTTGAAAATAGGAGACGATTTAAGAGGAGACGAAAGATTTAAGAGATGATCCGTTTCGTCTCCTATTTTTAGGAGACGAAATCCGTTAAATAGGAGACGATCAAAAGGATTTAGGAGACGATCGGTTGCACGACTCGAGTTTCCACAGAGGTCCAGGCTTTAAAACTTGACACGACTGGCTCCAGTACAATTAAGGGCTTGTTTTCTAAGGGCTTGTTTTTAAAAGGGCTTGTTGAAGCTTTAAGGGTTTGTTTTAAGGGCTTGTTTATTTAAAGGCTTGTTTGCTCCTGATGAGGGCTTGTTCTACGGGGTTTACACGAAGGCTTAAGGGTTTGTTTTGAGAACTTAAGGGCTTGTTGTTAAGGGTTTGTTTATTAGGGGCTTGTTTAAGGGCTTGCTGAAGATTTATGGGCTTGCTTAAGGGCTTGTTTCCAGTCGTGGAAATTTGAAGTTTTTTAAAATCCTGATTCCTGGGTGAAAAACGTCGGACGGTCCAGTAGTACCTACGGTACCGGTACCGTAGGGTAAAGCTAGATCTACATAGTGCCACTGGGAGCTTACAGAAAGGTGGTTGACTAGCTTGGCGCATGACTAGAAGTTAGGAGGCTTAATTAAATTTAACCGCTCGATTTTGGCCAAGTGAAAGGGAACCCGGAAAACAAAGTCAATTGATACCCCCCATTGCTTTACGGTGGAGGTACTTCGCTTGCGAGAAATTTATATATGATCATCAAGATTACTTAAGGCCCCATGTGGAAAGATGATCATCGATAAAGTTCTGTCAAACCAGCCGCCACAATTTTATAGATTTCGTGCATGATGACCACCATGCATGAAACCTGTTGTTCTGCTTTTGGCAAATCAAAGCAGCTGCTGTAGACAATGCACCAATCATGAGGGTTTTAGAATCAGACCTCTGATGTACTTTTGCATCACTACCCATTCTGTTAAATATCGAACGGCTGCTGCTGGCTCTCTGTTGTTCGAATGACGGCTGCTGCTGGCTCTCTGTTGTTCGTAGAATACAAGATGGCAAAGATCCGTGGCATATGATGTTCTTTCATTCGAGATCTATCTTGGCATCTATCTATTTCATTTAACATTCTGGGCATTTCTGGCGAGTTTTTGATTCATTTCTGAAGCTCACTTTCTTTCGAAGATGCAAGCCGAAAAGCCCCAAGGAAAGGAGAACAAAAAATCCAAGATGCAGCCAATGGAAGCTGCTGCTGGTGGGGCTCTTCCGCCTCCCGGTAATAACCGACGTACTGGAGCTATTCCTGGTGTTTCTTCAACTGCAAATCGAACCATCTGGTCCAATAATCGCCCTGAGCAAGCCTTAGGTCGTACCATGCGAGAAGCAGTTGAAAAACATGATGCAGAGGAGAAGAAAAGGCAGGATGCCGCTGGAACGCTGATTGCTGACTTGCGCACTCCTCCCAGCAATGTAAGCAATCATACTTGTCATGGATCTAACCCTCCTCCTGCTCCGTCTATCGCCAGAAAGCCTTTGGTGATGGATGGCTTCTACAATATGAGTTATGACCCGGATCTTTACCATGGAATCAATGACGTCGCTCCTTTCACATCTGGCTGCGGGCGCTATGCCATGCCGTACCAGAGAGTCTCTTCTGGCAGGTCGAGTGCCCCACCATGTCTGCCTTCTCCTGAGCAGCAACGTCGTCAGGGATTGCATTCCAACCCACAGTTGGCAGTTGCACTCAAGAAAGAGAGCATTGCTTCAAGGAAGAAAGCCCCATCCAAGAGTGCTAAAGGAGGATCTGGTAGCAAAGGAGGAGCAGCGGGATGGTTTACCGAGGATGAAAGAAGCAGCTTGTTTGATACCATTAAGAAGAAGCTTCCAATTGGTAAAGCTGAGTGGGAAAAGGTAGCTGATGACTACAACAGCAACAATGTTCGTCATCGCGAGTTGCCATCCTTGAGGGCCCAATTCAATAAGTATGCATTGGCTAAGCCACCAACTGGAGACCCAAACTGTCCTCCTTTGGTCCGCCAAGCCAAGCAGATTGCAAACATGATAAAGGAGAAAGCTGGGTTGGAAAACATGCAAGCAGGAGTTGGTGCAGATCCCTTTAATGCTCCTTATTCGTCGAGTAATGACACTACCCCCAACACCGTGGATACCAGCAAGAGTCAGACCAAAGCTGTCAGGAAGAAAGCGAAACAGGACAGTATTATGGAATACATGATGCTAAGCGACATGAAAGAAACCCAGCGTCGTGCAGAAGAATCCCATCAAGCCCGAGAGGACAGAATGCAGATGATGACAGTTTTGGCATCTACAGTCACGGCCATTGCTACCGCCTGGTCAGGAAGACAAGTCGAATTGCCCATGTTCTCAACAAGCGCAAGGGCCCCAGAAGCGGCCGTAGACAGTCCTCTTACCCAAGCTTCGGCTGACAAGGAAAAAAAAGAACCAGTGGAAGATATCGATTGGGGTAGCTTGAAGCTTTCTTCTTCTGACTCTGATGATGACACTTTTGACCGCGGTGTGTCATTCAAGCATCGTCTTGCACGTAAGAGAGCCCATGATGCTAAGAAGCGCATGCGGAAACAGAAGAAGAGAAAGGAAAAGGAAGAATTGGCTGAAAAAGAAGCAGGCAAGAAACAGAAGGTGCCTCGACTAAGCCAAGGCCTCAGTCAGAGCCAGACAGAACTCCTGGAGGATGCTGATTCGTCCGATGAAGACTGTGTCGAGCTTGATCCTGTTGAGTACTATGGACGCAAAGCCAAGGAAGATGAAGAAGAAGAAAAGAAGAAGAATGGTGACACTGCAGATAAGAATTCCAGTAGAGCCATTTAAAAGCAGATGCAGAAAGCCTCGAGGTCAAGAGGAGAACGATTGTCCAAGAAAAGAAACAAAGAACAACAACAAGCCAATCAACGCAATAGCAGAAAAGAAGAAGAATAACAACAAGCCAATCAACGATCCAATAGCAATAAACGAATAAGACAACTAGTGAAACTGTGAACAACCTGACTACTGTATATTACATGGCTAGGGAGTAATGAAGTAGCGAGCGTCGATGCTCCACATGGGAACATATGTGTTCTGTAGCTGGTTGAGACCCACCAATGAGATTCTGGCATTGTAAAGGCAAGTCATAAGCTTCAGAATAATGATACGCTCGCCGTTTTCTTCAAGTTGGATTCGGTCTTTCAAGCGAGGGAAGGCACCTTGCAAGGCTCTCATGCCCCATTCAGCGGCTTGTCGAAGAGAGGTAGCTTGGTCGCGAACAATCATTTCAGCTGCTGTTTCAGCTGTGGAAAAGTTCTCTGAAGACTTGATGATAAATGGATTGTTGGTTGCTGTGAAGGCTGAGTCCACACAACAAATTCCTCCTGTGCGCTGGTGGATGGATTCCAAGAGATCATATGTGCCACCATAAGCTGCCAAAGTGGAGTCATGCATTGAACCCGGAGCGTTCAGAATACAGTGAATGATATACCCATCCACAGAGAACACGAACAGATTGGTTATGTAATGGTCGTGCGTCCATCCATTGTAGTACATGGATTGCTCATCAAGATCATCGTGTCGCTCAAAGGTAAGCTTAAGTCCATCGGCCACACAATAGACATTTTCCAAGGCTGGGTGACGATGAAGAACAGCTTCTTTCAATCGCTCGATCTTCTCATCAGTTGGAATCGCCACTCTTGCAAGTGGATGGTTTTGGAGAAGGGAAAGCAAGCCACGTCTTCCAAACCTCAACCAAACACTGGTGTGAGTACTGGTAAAGCCAAACCAACCTTGCAGTTGGAACAAAGCTCCGCGAAATCTGTACCAAGTGAGAACCAATGCCAAACAAGCACTCTCACTGATGATGCGATTTCTTCCACTATTGAAGCGGCGACGACGCAGTCTCTTGCAAGTGGTGCCATCTTGTCTTCCAGTCCAGGGAGTGTGGCTGTTAAACCAAGGAGCAAACAACTCCAACAAGTTTCTGAATGCTCGATTGTCAAATCCAGTAATTGTAATCATGGCTTGATCACTACCAGAATTGTAAACAGCAACCCAAGGCGATTGGCTTGGGCTTAACAGCGCTGATCTGGGTAGCACTCGCTGTCTCCTGCTGCGACCCTCATCATTTTGATTTTGTCTGAAGCTGCTGTCTTGAAGCATCAAACTTGCTGCAAACATCATCATCCGCCTCTGGCGGACCCAATACTGGTGGCCATCCATGATCAACACAGCATGTGCCAAAAAGTGTTGAATAGTTGGGCTTTGTGGGAGAGAGTGTATCTCATCAAACGAGTATCGTTTTTGAGTACTCGAGTAGGTACTCTGGAACACATATCTCAAATGTTCTTTCTCTCAAGCCATCTGCTATTCTGAGCAGCTGCAGAGGTGCGTAATTTGGCTTGGTAGCGATGACCTGGCGCGATTTATTTGGTTTAGAACGACCGTTATAATTTCTAGTCATGCGCCAAGCTAGTCAACCACCTTTCTGTAAGCCCCCACTACATGTACTTGAACTTGTGATCATGAAGCAAAACCGAAAGACGCATGAGTGTGGCACACATCTGCCGCGAAAGAAGTCTAGCTGCGTGGCTAGATCGGTTTACTTCATACGACCGCATCGTACCAGCACAGATTCGATTCGATTCCTGGGGCCCCGCAGCCGTTGGAGGAGGCAGAGGACGATCCAATTTTCTAAATATTTTTTTGAAGAAGCTGGACTCGACTCGACTCCATTCATGAAAGTGATGTACCGGTACCACTTACCGTACTGACTCGACTCTGCATCCTTACTAGTATGTCCGCAGTCTTGGGTTGTGGGGTCGTTGTCATGTTGAGTTTTGCGTGAAGGGAAGAGCGCCGGTGGGAAGTTGATTTGAGTTTCCATGTATTCGGCGGACCGGAGCTGGGCCTAGATTTGTGTCAATCATAAATTGTAAAGAAAGCTGCACACTACTGTATCTACCGGTACCGGCTAAGCTGCAGAGATGGTTGTTTACTGCAGTCTTTTCATGTCAAACAAACGATACGATTTTGCTGTCTGGATGCTATTTCTCGGCAGGAAATTATCTAATAGGCAGAATCAGAATCGCCTATCCATATTGTCTATCCATGACTATGCGTAAGGATCTCCACAACGGAAGAAACAGAAACGGGCTAGGACAGTAATGAGTGCAGTCAGCCTCCTTTTCAGGGGGGTGTTGGTCGTAATGCGGCGCAGTAAAGTTGTAGTAAGGAAGCACAAGTAGCTCTTTTCTCGGGTGGAGCGATGTTGCGTTTTGTTGGACCAGCTCCTTGTTGATAGCGCTTCTACCGTTGTTTCCTTGACTGCTACCAGTATGAAGTATCGGAGGCATGCTGGTATCAGCCACCCTGTAGTGATACCCAGCCTGTAACGCTGCCTCTTTCACGCACCGTTCTCTCCATGTTGAAAGTTCGGCGTGGAAACCGATTGGTCTGCACTCCTGCACTTTGTTGGGGGTTTGAGACCTGCGCAATTGTATTCAAAGCACAAAGTACATGAACGTGAGCAGCGCCCAGATAGCATGCAGAAACAAGGAGAAACAATACCCACCATTTAGAGTAGTCGCCTGCTATAGCATCAAAATGTTGCGCTGAAGTTTCCCTGTGGACCAATAGTTGTGTCCTGGTGCCATTGTGGCGTATGAATGAAAGAAAACCTTTCATGGCCGAAACATAAGCACTTGGGAGACTGAGGGGATGTTGGGGGTTATCTGAGTTCCAGTGCAATCCCCACCCAAGGATCAAGACTTCACCCGAATCTGCAACTTCTTCCATTTCAAACGTATGCTGAAACGGGAGAATGTACACCTGGAAGAAGTTCATGGTGACATGTGGGCTATGATCTGTACCGGTAGTATCCCAATAAGCAGATTGTATCTGAAGTGTTTCTCGATATTGTATCTTTGTTTTCCAGAACCCCTCATTCTGGGTCCAGTTGTTCAACATCTTGGTTCTGTATTGGCGACGCTGCAGCTCATAAATGAGCCCTTGCCACACCTGCGCCTGCATGCTGTCCCCCACAAACGTAATCGTCAGGTTGTGCTGTCGACTGAGTTCCACAATTCGACACACATCGCAACGAATCGCATTGCTAGTGGTGCCCTCTTCATGGGTACCGGTAGCAATGGGCAGCGGCATCTCCGCCAAAAACTCTCGAGCGTGTTGTTGAAGAGAGCCGTTTTGGTGCAACCACGCATGCGATGCTCGACCACACTTTTGAAAAGCAACATTGACTACCGTTCCAGCACTTGAGAATGGGCTTTCGCAGCAATCAGTGACAAGCTCAGGCGGCGGGTCGCACTTCCCCACCTGCATTCGATGTTTGCTGCGTGAGGTTTCATTCGAACGCACCATGAGAGCCCCCTCCTTGATACACTCCAATTCCCAATCGTAAAGATCTACTATTTCCAAATCAGGTGAGTGTCTTTCATGGACCCTGATTTCGGAAGAGGCGGTGCCTGGTTCTTGGTTGTAAATGCCGTGCAAGGTGATTGTGGCTGCTCGCCTATATCGAGTAACCCAAACCCCGGCATTCTGGGCAAACTTGCTCTCGTTAAACCCAATGATCCGCAGTGCAGTGTGCAAGACAAGGGCTGTCGATGCTATTGCAATCGTGTATTTTCGAATCCTGATTAAATTCACCATGGGTGGTTTGAAATATGAACACTGGCTACCTATTTCTACTACCTACTACCATGTGGAAAAGCACACTGGCAACTCCCAATCGCACCCTTAATATATAACATCGGTAGACTCGACTCAGCCAATTTCATCCCAGCCCATACCGGTACCACGGGAGCTCCATCATCACGAGCAAGTGGAAGCATGAACTTTGTGAGTCAGCGCACCTTTGCGTCATCCAGGTGCACCTCACTGGAGGCGGAGGCGCACTCTATTGAGTGAGTACCGCTACTCTGGACAGTGTCATGTGCCATGGTCATGTTGATACTTGACGGTTTACAGCCATCGACAGCTGGAAAGTTCATGCCACAGAATCAAGCCCAACCAAGTCATCAGACAAGATTCGATTAAATCCAAGTTGGCTTACGGTACAGGTAGCTCGTGTGGTTGGTTGGTATCCATCTAGCAACCTGCGATGCGTCGTCCGCGGCAGTTGTCGGTTTGCTTTGAGAGTATAGTATGGCCCTTTATCGTTGTCTACGCTGTACCATACGGTACTACGATGTACTAGTAGTAAGTACCGTCCGGGACATTCGAGGATGGCAATGCAGTCATAGAGAAAAGACGTTTACGTTGCAGTTTCTCTGCACTGATACAGTACTCTGCCAGTGCCCGTCAACAGAACGTTGACGATCGCATCACCTGGTAACTTCACTTGTTCGCAATGCTTTGATCGCCAATGTTTGTTTGATCGCAACAGATGCGGTACCGGCTTGAGAGCCGCCTGGCAGCAACTCTAATTACCATCCGACACTATCTCTTTGTATACTAGATTTGCTTCGCATGGTATACTTCATGTCAAAGTAACTATACATCGGTAATGATATTCAATACCACTTACATAGACAATGGATGACAGAAGATGTAATTGGCTCAGAAAACGAAAGGGGCTGAGCAAAGTTTTTAGAAGGTTTACCCACCCGTTTCCGCGCCCGACCAGGTAGCGGTTTGAGGGTGGGGAACATTTTGTTGTCGCTCGAGGATTTGGCGAGATAACAAAGATTGTCTTCCGGACTCTCGCCACCAACAACCAGTGGGCACGGAGTAAGTCATCACCAAGCCAATCGAGAAAACTCTCACAATTTCTAAAACCTTCCAGCTAAGAAGCGAAGCACACGTTCCAACAAAGCCGCACCTTTTGAACTCCACCAGTCGCCCACATTCAACACATACAACCTTTCAGAATGTTAACCAAGAATACTATCATCCTTCTTTTGGTGGCCATGGGGTCTTCTCCCACGCTGGCTGGAGCTCCAATGCTCAGAGGGAGATTTCTTCAAACTTCTGCCCCAACAATGACTGCAACTGAAGCCGCTACAATGGATGCAACCGAGGCCGCCACTGAGGCTTCAACTGAGGCTTCCACTGGAGTTGGATCTTCCAGGAGACTTGAGACCGCTGCACCTACAGATGCTTCTACCATGGCCGCCACCGCATCAGAAACTGCAGCTGCCACAGAAGTTGCCACTGAGGCTGCCACTGAAGCTGCCACTGAAGCTGGAACTTCCCGCCGCTTGGAAGAGACTGCTGCCCCAACAGATGCTGCTACAATGGCTGAGACTATGGCTGCCACTGAAGCTGCCACCGAAGCAGGCACTGAGGCTGCCACTGAAGCTGCAACTGAAGCTGGAACTTCCCGACGATTGCAAGAGACTGCCGCTCCAACAGATGCTGCTACAATGGCTGAGACTATGGCTGCCACTGAAGCTGCTACCGAAGCAAGCACTGAGGCTGCCACTGAAGCAGGAACTTCCCGACGATTGCAAGAGACTGCTGCCCCAACAGATGCTGCAACAATGGGCGCAACAATGGTTGACACTGAGGCACCCACCACAGAAGCACCAACATTGGCTCCAGAAGGCAAAGACAAGGATGACAAGGAGGCAAAGAAGCAAGCAGGCAAGCGCCAAAGAAAGCGACGACAGGTTCGTGGCTTGCAGGAGACTGCGGCCCCAACAGATGCCGCTACAATGACTGAGACTATGGCTGCCACTGAAGCTGCTACCGAAGCAGCCACTGAGGCTGCAACTGAAGCTGGAACTTCCCGCCGCTTGCAGGAGACAGCGGCCCCAACCGATGCCGCTACAATGGCCGAGACTATGGCTGCCACTGAAGCTGCTACCGAAGCAGCTACCGAAGCTGCCACTGAGGCTGCCACCGAAGCTGGAACTTCCCGACGATTGCAAGAGACTGCCGCCCCAACCGATGCCGCTACAATGGCTGAGACTATGCTGCCACTGAGCTGCCACTGAAGCAGGCACTGAGGCTGCCACTGAAGCTGGAACTTCCCGACGATTGCAGAGACTGCCGCCCCAACCGATGCTGCTACAATGGCTGAAACTATGGCTGCCACTGAAGCTGCCACCGAAGCAGCCACTGAGGCTGCAACTGAAGCTGGAACTTCCCGAAGATTGCAAGAGACTGCTGCCCCAACAGATGCTGCTACAATGACTGAGACTATCGCTGCCACTGAAGCTGCTACCGAAGCAGCCACTGAGGCTGGAACTGAAGCTGGAACTTCCCGACGATTGCAAGAGACTGCTGCCCCAACAGATGCTGCAACAATGGGTGCAACAATGGTTGACACTGAGGCACCCACCACAGAAGCACCAACATTGGCTCCAGAAGGCAAAGACAAGGATGACAAGGAGGCAAAGAAGCAAGCAGGCAAGCGCCAAAGAAAGCGACGACATGTTCGTGGCTAAATAATAAAAATAGAGACAGCGCTTGTCTTGCTTGATTGATTGATGTTGAAAGCCGCTCCCATGCACAATTTGATGGATGGATGTTGCAGGCCCTTCCCCTCCTCGACCTAGTTCACACGGGAAGAGGGCGAGTTGAAAGCCAGATCGCGCGGGACAAGAAGTCCCCTGCACTCAGCTATCACAAGGTCACAAAGGTAAACAATGGTTTGCAGAGAAGGACGTGAAGGATAGATCATTAACAAATATAGTGGCTATATGTTTCACCCACACGATCCTTCAAGTTGCTAGCTAGTTTGTTATGTCTTCCTTGTTAGCCAGCTACATGAATACTGCCAGAGAACCAACAGTATCACGAACCAACTTCCTGAGGGCCATCTTCATCATGTATGTCCACTAACCATTTCCTTATTGCTTCCTGCTGGCTGCAACACACGACGGAGAGACCTTTCAATTCTCCTCTCCCATGCCCAAGATGGATGCTTCGTATCGTTTCCACGCCTGCCCCAGGACTGGGCGACCATGGGCTGGAAGGACGTGATCGAATTGCAGGTCGAGCAACTTCCGCATTTCTTTGGGTTGGACATTTGCAACTTTTTTCCATGCAGGACCGACTTGACAGGGGCTAATGAAGCCCATCATCTTCATGCAAAGCCGCCCGAGATAGTTGAAATAAGCGTCACACTCATCCATATTCTGCAAAGAATCTCCTGTAATGAGCACCTTGCCTTCGGGTCGTTCCAAAACCAAGATACCGTCCTTGGGTTTTTCCGACTCAATGACAACAAAAGAAACCCCCGCAAGAATTGCCGGAAGTTCAGAGGAAGCCTCCAACCGTTTATCCGCTTGAAAGTAAACTTCTTTGCTCTTGGTTTCAAAATTGGGGAAATATGGAGCATCGTCTACTGCCCATACAGTTGCTTGTGGGTATCGCGCCTTATAGAAGGGGTCATCCATACCATGGAATGCGGCCAAGCGAACAATATGCTTCACGGCCCCCAATCCATCCAAGGCCGCCAAGCCATCATCGTCTAAACGCACAGTGTTGACAAGGATCAGATCCGCTTCGTCATCATCCCTGCCGCCAGTATTACGAATCACCTGCATGTTGCGAGAAAATGTCATGGGCATAAATGGCAGCATCTTCATTTCAACGGTGCCAGTCACCATGTAGACATCTTCGAAGATCTTCTCAATCTCTCCATGAGGGAGACTGGGTGGGTGGGGACGGGCGACAACGGTGTTCATGACGGTCGTTGTGGTGGTGGCGATTGCCTCTGTTTGGGACTGCTTGCTACTTGTAAGAGGAAGTCAATTAACCGATCAATCGAACAAACCGAAAAAGATATGGGTGCATGGTCGGCATCAAGTTTCTTTCGTCTGTCACGGTCTTGCCGTCTGCTGTGACCCCTACCTAGCAAAATGAACCGAATGATTCGATTCGATTCGATTCGATTCAATCATTCAGCCGCCAGGACCAGACCGAGGAAATACGCTACCTGGTACAGTACCGGTACGGTGGGCAGCATTTCAGAGTGGCTCTGCGCACTCCCCAGGTTTCTGGAAATGTTGCCAAGCAATCAAGCATCACTCAGGCAAAAAATATCGAAAGCCATGCCAGTGAATTTGGGCCGCGCAAGTAATGGCAAGGCTTAGTCTCAGTGAGTGTGTGCTTGTCATCTGGCTGTGCAGAAGGAGACCAATGTCAATCGCAGTTTGTCTTCCTGAGTTTCTTTTGCCGCCTTGCTGAGCTGAGTGACTCAGTCACCACTCATGCCAGATTGCTGATTGAGAGGACCAAAGCCAAAGCGGCAAACCAACACATACATCTGCATGTGGAGACTGCCGAATGGTGTTTGGGTTCGGTCTACCACCAGTTCAGATAGTCTGCTGTGGTGTGTTGACGCGGCACCACCAACCACCAACCAAGTCGTCCTGTAGTGGTCGTTGCCGATTTAGGAATTGGTCCAAACCGCATCCAAGCACCGCAACCGGAAGGAATAGCGCAAAAGCTGAGGAAGCAACAAACCGAAAGTTTTCCAACTGACTTAAACAACATTGCTATAGAGTTTTTTATTCCTTTGGATACCACATCTGTTTGTGAGCTGCCCTGCAGCTACAAACTACACAGCAGCACCACAAAAGACATTGGTACACATACACACCGGCAACAACACCAACCTCGCCAATCCATTTTTTCTCACATCGCACACAATAATTCGTGCTTGTCAATTAGGAGCCAATGCCGCCTTCTTCAGGGTAGGAAATACCAATTGGATCGGACGACGAGAATGTGTGGCTTGAGCCGTTCTTGAAGTCGATGGTAAACTCCAGCTTGGGACTTCCAGTGGACAAATCCATGTTGGCCGGACTCTTCAACAACTTGTGAACGACGTGGTCATCAGGCGCCGAGACCTTGACACCGCTCAAGGATCCACAAATGGGGAGCCTGGCGCTGGCATGCATGGAATCGTGAGTGGACCAGTCAGTGAGGAATGGAACCAATCCATCTCCTTTGATGAAATACATGTCCCTAAAAGAAAATAAATGTGCCGCAATCATTGTTGTGAGTGTGAGGCAATAGTTGACAAAATTAAAACTGACCAAAAAACACTTCAATTATCGAGCACTTACCAGAGCCACGGCATGCCCTTGTCCTTGCTGACCATGGTGATCTGATCGTATTCCATGCCATTTGCGGACCATCCTTTGCGGACTTCCATGTCTTTGGATTCTTCCAAGCGCACAGCGTAGTGGCATGCCACCAATTCTCCAGCAGGCAAAGCTGCCAGTGCCTTGCTGAAATCAGTTTGTTCCTGCTTTTCGTCGGGACCCACAAGCTCGACATAGGCGCATTCCTCAAAGGCACATCGGGCACTCTTGGTACCGGTTCCCCGGAAAGTCGTGGTGACACAGGGTGCCACTCCAGACATTTTTTCGAATTCTTCGACAGCCTTATCCAAGTCAGACGTACCAATAATAACTTGATCGAGGCAGTTATCAGGAGTGATGGTGACTTCACGACGCCACTTTTCCGCCATTTCTTCGGGGTCCATTTCCTCATCAGAACCATCCTCATCTTCCACTTCGTAATCAATACCAAGTTTGTTCATCAGCTCTTGAGCTTCCGCGGCTTCTGCATCGTCACCCATCTTGGAGAGTTATTTATTTGTTGAGAGAAAGAATTAGTTTGAAGTGACAAGGGCTTGAAGAAGGATCCAAGCAATTTTTTATGACAAGCTGTGTAACACAGAACAATATTCTGAAAAGTGAGGCAGTTGTGTGAGAAAAACAGGGCACCAAGGTTCTCGAGAAGAGAGTGGCAAAAGTATCTTGCTTCGTTCTTGATTTGCGCGATCCTCCAAGAGAGCGTGTCAAGATCATCACTGGCTCTTCTACAAAACCGTCCATAGATATCAATAAAATGTTCGAAAAAAAGTATATGACTACTATAACCATTTAATTTCAATCATTTGGATTAATTATTTCCATTTAATCATTTTATTACTCAAATGTTCGGACGACGTACTAGTCATCCATGCAGTCATCCTTTGAGGTGATGTTGGATGCCGACTCCCGCGATCTTTGGCCAGAAGCAAGATCCAAATTTTGATGATCTGTTCCTGATTTCAGAGCAACAAGACCTTCGAACGGATTTGACCTCTGTGGGAGAAAGAAACATGTTTCATGGCACATGTGGTGCCATGAAACATTCATTGCCAAAAATTCCAAGGGTGTCTGCAACAATGGGCAAAAAGGAAAAAACTACCAGGTTTTTGGCTGCTAAATCAGCGCAATTCGCTGAATGAGGTTTGCTTTGCTACCGGTATCTTGAATGATGCAAGAATTGCGAAAATCCAGCATCCACCACGTTGGACGGTATTGATGGGATGCAATCTGAAGTCCAAGCCAAGCTAAAATCCCTTGATGAAGCAAGAGACTTTCGACGGAACCATCGACTCAATCTGACCGATCTGTTTTCACCAACGTCGTCGCTATGCTCCTCATTGGAACCGGTGGTGCCGTGGAAGAAAAAAGATTCTTAGGACCTCCCCGGACATCCCCTTCCGTCGACTGCTTCGGCTTGTGGTGCAAGAAGACCAGACATCAATTTTTATTAAGCAAGATCAAGATTCTCCTGTGATTCTCTCCTCTAGACTCGCCGGTGATCACTTTCCCTTTTGCCAACCCAACTGTTGAGGCAACGCAGTCTTGTATGCGTAGAAAACAACTCTCAATGTCATCGGGAAACCATGCGGCACCTCATAATTGTTCTGGCTACTAGCCACATTCAAAGACAGATGCGAGAACCCAGGCCATGGCGAAGGCTTTTTTTCAGACCCAAATCTTTCCAATTTTGTGGCGTTGCGAAAGATCTTGGCCCTGCCCTCCACAGAAGGCAACTGTCTTACGCTTCTGGCTAAATTTATTTGCTGTTCAGCCTGGTGACGGGGAGTTGCTGCAGGATATGCTTGCTGGGAGAGCTACAGTAGTACCGGTACCGGTATGCTTCCTTCATTCAGCCAGCGTTGTTGAAATTTCGGTTAGCATAATTAGTGCGATGCTTGCGAGTACATCAGCCACGGGGTTTCTACTATGCCCACATCATCGCTGTGCAGAAACGTACAGTACAATTGCATTCGTTTGCAAATACTGCATGTACAATGTGTGGCTCTCCAATGATACCACTTCTGTCAAGTTCAGCGCTTAGCCTTGGGGGAAGAACCTTACGTCGTGGCTGGTAGCTTGCCAGTGATTCGACACAAATCAAACGTACTTATCTTACGACGACGACTACATACAAGTAGTCCCCAGTGCACTATTTATAAGGAGAGGGGAACCGCATTTTCTTACGACAAATGTTTGGGCTTGTCTTCCACTCTGGAAAACGCCACTGTGATTTCTTTGCTTTAGACAACCGCCACCACAAGTTGGATAAATAATAATAGTTCACTGTTTGCCCTTTTCTTCTACCAACACCGCTACCGTACGTTTATTGTTTGGCCAGAAATTCCACCACATCCGTGACACTCACAACTCCCACAGGCTTCAATTCCATGTCGACGACAAACACTCGATGGTATCCAGTCTTGGCCAACAACTTGAAGGTGTGTGCCAGGGTGGATGATTCCTTGACGTGGGAACTAGGATATCTGGTTTCCTTGGTAGGATCTTCTTGTCGTACCGCACTCAAGAACGACAGCACATTCAGACCCAGATCAGCAAAAGCACCATCATCCACGGCGACAGCCAGTTTGATGTCAGTAGCACTGGTGTTCCCTACCAGAGCACCGTCCTCGTGATCGACCACGGCAATTCCGGACAAGCGGTGTGAATCCATCAATTCGAAAACTTCACTGGCAGTGGCAGTATCAGGAGCAGTTTTGACTTCTTTTTTGTAGGGGAAGTTTGCCTGAGCTAGCGTCTGATCGAAGAATTTCTTCAAGGTGGCACTCTTACTTTCGGCCAGCAAATGGTCCACCAAAAATTTAACCAAGGCGCTTTGTGAGAGAATGCGGACGCATCTTCCAGTGGACTTGTCAATGATGGGGACACGATGACAGTGACGATCCGCACAAATTTTGCACACTTCCATCAGGGTTGCGTCGTTTGTAAGGGACACAAAGGGGTTTCGTGCGGCCAAGTAGGACACCGTAAAGGATCCACTACCGGCCGTGGACGGACTCTTATCAAACCATTTGGTAAAAGCAAAGTCTTTACTGCCGCTCTTATTGTCGCTCTTTTTGGAAGCTTCCTCTTCTTTGTGAGAGGCGATCACTGTGCTCAACAGGTCTCTCATGTCGAAGAAACCAATATACTTCTTTCGTTCCTCATCATACACAGGGGCACCGATCACCTTGTGAATAGCAATAGAAGATAAATGCACATAAGTTCAGTTGGGTAGGGTAGCGTGAGTACCTTGCACTGAAGACTGACTAGAAGTGCATACCTTGTGCGACCACAACTCCTTGGCCGCCTCCACAGGAGTCATTGAAACCTTCACCTCCACTACTTCCTTGTGAGGGGTCTCCACATCGCTGGCCTTGGTGGTCTCCAAGAACGCGCGAAGCTCGGCAGAGTGCTCGTTGTCGTCGGCCATGGTCGCTGTTTATCTCTCTCTTTGGGGGCTGGTGAATCCCAGAGGTGGTGCTCTTTGGTGTTGGGTGTTCGGTGTTCGGTGTCCAAAATTCAAAAGTCGAGTCGAGTCGATTCAATTCGAATCGACTCCAAATTCTCATTCACGCTGAATCAATCGAATCGAATTGAATTGAATCGAATCGAATGATCCGACGATCCAACCAATCAATCCGCCTTCGCGTGGGAGTGAGAATGACAGTGCGAGTGACAATTGTGGCAGTTTCGCGCACCTTTTTGTCTCTTGCCGTTGCAGTGCCACAAATTGAGGTGCAGCACTGTTCATCTTTGTTTTGCGTGGGCCGAAAAGAGGTTGAAACATCCTTCCTGCAAGCATGTCCATGGAGCTCACGTCGTCTCATCACGTCGAAGTCGAGAGAGCCCGATTCTATCGAAATCTCATGGAGCGAAGAAGACGTATCGGTACCGGCAGTATCGCTTCGGCCGCCAACAAAAGACAAAGAAGGAGACTGCCCACTGTGGCCTGGGGAGGTCTGCTGTTGATAGCTTCTCTCTGTACGACCATCCCCCTTATTCACAGAGCGAATCGATCTTTGCACGTGGGAAAGAATCCATATCATGAATCCACCGCGTCCGCAAAGTGGGCTTTCGGTGGGAACATTGGGCCACGGAACGTTCCACAGGAGCTGGAAATAGTCTCAACCAAGGTTCCACCATCAACCGTGCCCTACGATGACGACACAATTCCCAAAGGCGTGCTCTCAAGCGAACAAGGCTATTTCTTTCGCGCCATCCAAAGATCCATAGATCACTCTGATCTGAGCGAACGATGTCGACGGTATGGCTTTTCCATGAGCCAACCTGGAAGGCCGCAGTCATCGGCGGACCCTGTCCCTGCGCAACGAAGAATATTTTTCGGTAGTCTGATTGCAGAAGAACCGTGGGAACTGCTAGAAATTGTTGCTGCCGAGACGTATGGGATATTTGAAGCAATGATCTTTGTGGAAGGAAATCGAACTCAAAGTGCAACACCGAGACCCTTCAAACGGACAGAGAAACACATTCAAAAGTTTCAGAACTTGTTTGGTGTGCAAAACATACAGATACGACGATACGTCAACGAAGATATTACGCTGGAGAAAATGGCACGAGAACATCGACAAAGACAAGAAATTCTGAAGGGATGGAGAGATTTTGGCATGGGTCCAGAGGACATTGGGTACATTGCCGACGCCGACGAGACGTTTACTCGTGACTTTCTGAGAGCGGTGCAAACTTGCCCCTATGTGGAGGCTTTGGACTATGGCACACATCACTGCTTCAACCCCAAAGTCAAGATTGCTGGCTACACGCGGATGTTTGAGTCCTCACCGGAATGTATTGCCAAGCGAACATGGTATGTCCGTCCTTCAGAGCATTGATACAGGGTCTACTACGCTTCACATCCTCACAATCGTTCTCCTTTCCCAGGTATCACCCTGACATGATAATGGGAGCTTGCGTCGAGTTGATTGGCAATGAAACCTTGAACCCGCCTGCACCTCGAGTCAAAGACTACTTGCGAGCTCCAGGATACGCCCACAACTGTGAAACTCGAAATGATAGGATGTACAAGAATTCTTTTGGGAAGATTGGTGGCAACCACTATCCTCTGTGGAGTGCTGCTGACTTTAGACGACAGTGTGGAGGCCACAACTACGAGCTGAATGCCACCAATCACACCAAATACACTGCGTATCACTTTCATAACTTCTTTCCTGATCTCAAGGCCACTCGCCGAAAATACAGTACGTATGGGCACTCGGTTCATGGTGCAGAGAGGAAGCGATTGGAGAATATAGGGGACGATTTGAAAATGATGGTACGGTGTGTGCAAAACTGGACGGATGCCCCAACATCTAAAGAAAACAATTGGCATGTTACTGAAACACAACAGTGGCAACGAGAAGTTGGTGGTCTAGAAGCAACATTGAAACCCTGGCCAATCTACTTTCTGGACGTGGACTATCGCCGGCGGAAACACCATTCTATCCAAGAGTCTGTAAAATGGGATGAACGGCGACGACAAGCCGGAATGAGAATGATGGCATCGGAGCGAAAGATGGAACGAGTCACAGAAGAAGCAAAAGAGTTGAAACGACAGGCGTGGGCGAAAGAGGCACAGGCAGAGGCACTCAAAGCAGAGATTGTAGCTGCTGCTATTGCTGCAAACATGACCAATCAAAACATGTCTGCGCCGGTAGCTATCTAGACAATGGCAACCGAGAGCTACCGGTAGCTAGCTGGAGGTCTCCAAATAGATTTAATCGTTATCGTGCTCTGCTATTATGGTGACACCGGCATCTATAGCTACTTGTATGGTACGGTTCTAGCTAGAGTAGCAATCTGGAGGGCATCCCGGAGCATGGGCCAGTTGGCCAGTGGATCCGGCGTCATTGTACCTGTAGTCCTGTCGTCATAGTGGAGTCGAGTCTGCCATGGTACCGTGAGGTTATGCTTTGGAGGTTTGGAGTGGTGTGGCTTACATGTAATGCTTCTGAGGGCACTACTACCGGTACATGGATGCATATTATTGGTATGAACGATGAACGAGTTCCCGTTTCTCTGTGTCACTGTACCGTGACAACAGGTACCAGGTACCGTACAGTACATGTACCACTGTGTCAGTAGAATCGATTTGACCATCAAGCTCCAACATCGTCCTCCAGTCTTATGAACAACTACCGAAAGTGATTTATTAGTGGGCCATACCGTTAATTAAATATTGTAACCACTCAGTGCCAGAATGCCAGAAAGCACATCTGAATAGCTTCTGAATGTTATTTTTACCGAGTAAAATGCCCACCATTCTAAACAGGAGTACGCCCCAAGAGCTGTGACGCTGTGACCCTTGAAGCTCCCTTCAACTTTGACCACGGATCCATGCAGTTTTCGTTGAAACGATACAGTACGTCTATTACCTGGTATACTGTGGGAGAGTAGCTAGGAGAGTGTTGCTGTGTTACTGTACATCCAGTCTACACTCTCTATTCAGGATTGGAACGAGGCCATGCACCAGCACCCGCCACCCACAACAACAGCATCAACAACACACATTCATTGACCCGCCAGTTACGGAGTTACCCTCAACGATCCCACAACCACAAGGAATAGCCTGTTTGTCGTCATTCCTCCCGATCACATAGATCCCATATCGCAGAGGAATTCAAGAAAGAATGGCAAGTGAAGGTGAAACAGGAACTCAAGTCTTGGAGGCGATGGCCGAGGATCGAGCCGTAGCTCCATTGGAAGAGTCGTCCTCCAGTAGAGATGACGAAGCGGCTTCATCTGGAGACTCGTTCCCTGCTACCAATGGTGCATCCAAACGATTTCGCAACCGAGAAGAAGATGCGACGGGACAATCTAGCACCGACACTTATTCCATGGTGGAGGAGAAGCGCGATTTGATGGCCAAGGCGTCGGGCGTTGCGCAGAAGAATGCTCCTGCAACTACTGCACTCAAGCCTCCTCCTAAAAGTAAGCGGCAGCCATCCAGTGGAGACATCCCAGCAACACGACGCCCACGTGGAAGCTATCGTCCCCGTGCATCCAAGACCCCCAGCAAACGAGGGCTATCCAACGGAGACTCGGGACGTGCGTCAGCTAGAGCCCCCAATACAACAGACTTGGACGAATATGAGTTGCAAGTAAACTTTGGTGTTGGACAGGTGGGGCAACCACGAGGCAGGAGGGAAAGCAATAGCCTTCAGTATCTCGAGCGTGAAAAAATGGAAGGAAACGGCGGCGCCTCGGCAGTAGCTAGGTATAGCAACAACGCCAACAGCGATCATGACGACGTCTCCCAAACATCCACAAGAGCATCCCTGACTAGTGCAATGATCAAAGAGAAGGAAGCGTATCCCTCTGCTAGGTCCGTCGTATCCACCATGTCTCAGGAAGACTGTGTGCAGGCTCCTCGGCCAACCATGCCAGGGGCTGTCAGCGTAGCAGGGATCAATGGTCCATCCCCTGAAGTGGACGACTGGAGGAACGCATCGCTGGTGAGCATTGGAGAGTATGATTCCGAAATGGGGCTGCATGGCGATGCTCAGAGTACTGCCCAAAGTTACATGTCAGAAGAAACGATTGTAGTGGCGCACACTGTTGAGGAGGACTTGGAGAGAAAAGAAGCCGAGATAGAAGAAGAGATTCGAAGACGCATTTTGCAAGAAGCCGTAGAGGCTGATATCGTGCCAGTGCCTCTCGATTTGGAACCGGACAAAGAGAAGCAGCAAGAGAATCATGCACGTAGCGGCTCCATGGTTTGGATCGTCATCTTTGCCGTGGTTGCAGTCGCAGGAGGAATCGTCATTGCGCTGATCGTTACGAAAGGAGGAAACACGGACAAGCCAGAGGCATTAGAGTTCTCAGACTCGGAAAGCACCGGCTACGATCAGATGACAACGATTGATATTATCAAACAACGTGGATTCGTCAAGTGTGGCACATACGATGGGCGCTATGGATTTGGCAAGCTGAACGACGATATGATGAATGTGGGCTTCAACATCGATCAGTGCAAAGCTATTTCTATTGCTGTATTCGGCGTTCCTGACAAGTACGAGGGCGTGGTTGTGTCATCTATGAACCGCTTACCGCTGCTCGCTGCAGGCGAGATTGATGTTCTTACCAATACTGTAACACATACAATGGGGAGAGATGTTTGGGATCCTCTGTCCGGGACCGGCTTTACCTTCTCGGCACCGTACTTCTACAGTGGTTTGGCATTTGGCGGGGTTCCAGAATACGTTGCTTGCGCTGAAGCACTCGATTCATTCAATGGTCAATGTCGCAACCTGAGGATCTGTGCGGGAACCGACACTACCCACGAACAGTTCTTGTACTCCTTGCTTCCAGGAACCGAAATCGTCCCCAGTGATTCCCCCAAGACAGCTGCAGAAAACATGATCGATGAAACGTGTAATGTGGTGGCGTCTGAACCTATCAGCATGCTGGTGGATAGGTTCCGCGAGTATGGATACGAAGGCCCCTTCCGAACTGGAGGAAAGGTCTTTTCGAAAGAACCGCTGGCGCTTGTCACGCGCGAGGAAGATACAGAATGGTCCAACTTGGTGAACTTTGTTGTCAATGTGTTCTTCTTGGCGGAGGCTAAGGGTATTTCCAAATCAAATGCAGAGGAACTGATGGAGGTATTTATGGGCAACTCTTATCTTGGAACAGTTGCGACTGGGATTGTGGCGCACTTGGGAAACTATGGAGACATGTACACGAAACACTTGGAATCGTTGTTTCCGAGGCGCGACTTGAACACTCTGCACAGTGGTGATGATTCAGGCCTTCTTTATGCGCTCCCATTCGGACTGACCGATGCCAGAGGCCCCGAAATGGAAAACGGGACCCTCGCTGAGATTGTAAATCGAGGGCATGTACGGTGTGGCGTTGTCACTCGATCTGACTTCGTTCACATGGATGAGGATAGTGTCTGGTCAGGATTGGAAATTGAGTTCTGTCGTGCCCTGTCTGGAGCAGCTTTTGCCGGAAGTCCCGATTCGGTGGAGATTGTAGATTTGTCGGATCACCCCGACGGTGTATACACGGCACTCGTCTCGGGAGAAGTGGACGTTGTTTCAGGAGCTCGCGTCACGTTGGAAGCCGACTTCAAGGAACCTACCACCGGACAGGGCTTCACTTTCTCGACGCCATTCTTCTACGACAGTGGCAATGCCTTTGCATTTGCAACCACCGAAGATGATACCCGATGGAATGATTTTTGCAATTGGGTAGTACTTGGCTCTTTGTATGCCGAAGAAAAAGGGATCAACTCTGATTCTTCCGTTGAAATGCCCGTGGTGAGGTTGTTCGGCGAACCCATGAAGCAAATGCTAAGGGATATGGTTTTTGCAGTCGGGTCCTATGCAGACATGTACAATGCCACGTTGAGTGAGATACCCCGATCACCGACGAACCATCTGAACCAGTGGCTGTCTGGGCCGCAACAGTTTCCAATTCCCTTTCGATAGAAGTGCGTGGAAAATCTTTAGTTCTTGATTAGATTAGAATCGAATCACACTAACAATATCTCTGACTGCTTACTAGTAGAGCCAAGTCAATGCAGTGTGCCCCCACAGAACTCATTCAAACCTTGGACTTTTGTACCGAAGGGTTTGTCTCAGTCAATTAGGGTTGGTGAAGATGAAAAAAATCCTTCACCTGTCAGCTTTCCGCTAACCTAGCCAGAGGCACACGGCAGGCCAACCTTTCAATGGGATGGGTCCCAGGTGCCTGGATAGTCTGGAATCGGATTTCACCTATCAACTGTGTTGAGCAGATTGCACAGCAAGGAAGGAAGAGTGTAACGAAAGTGGTTCTGACCACGCTTTGGTTGCTCAATGGATCCAAAAACTTCAATGGTGTTGCTGGCCTTGATGGACAACTTTTGAATGGGCCTAAAATAAGAACTCCCGTACAAGCCTCCGTTTCGGTTCCAGCCTGTCTTTCCTTCGCCTAAAGTGGGGCTCTGAGGGGTTTTGGGAGGACTAACTATAATAAGCAAGGCAGAGAGGGGAAATTGATCGCATTGATGGAATTTGTGAGCTTGTGAGTCGGGAGCCAATGACCGTGGAACCATGTGGAAGAGAGGAAGGAGGCAGCCTACGGTACGAACAGCAGCGGTAGCGAAGAGGCTACTAGAACTTAGCTAGCTAGTAGTCTAGCTAGGCATAACGAAACTGTCTTGGAGCAACTACGTATGCATGGATGCATGGTGTACATAATACATAATACAGCCATATGAGGGCCATGGGGTAGGAAAGTCTCATGTTCACCAGTCAGCGAAGATGGCTTGGATCTGCACTTCTCTTTTAGAGTGGCGTGACGCCGTAACTGTGCGAGAGGAGATGGCTGCATGAACGATCGGCAGAACGCCTCCACGAGGCGCGCAGTTGTCAAGAGCAGAGAGGATCGAGTCGAGTCAGAGCAGCCATTGGGAATTCGCAGGAAGGTCCTGGGAAACATGAAAATTGTGACGGGATACAGCTTACAATTCAGCTTTACAGCTTTATAAATTGCGGGCCTATTCTAGAAAATAATCAATAACTGCTCACTTATTTGGAAATACAAACTTTACATCTCTTAGATCGTTAGATTAATCAATCCACAATGGTATTGTCGAATTCTACCACTGTTGTCCATGGTAGCATGCGAGGTTATGAGATGTTACTCATTCTTATTCTTATATGTCTATCCCTTATGGTTGTCAATGGAATGAGCTATCCCTTGGTGCAGAGTCCTGAGTTTCCTCTCGTTATCTTCATCGGTAGTCATTCCCCGTATTGCAACTTAATCTGTCTATTTGATCCATATGATCCCTTTGTCGATACCTTGGATTCGCTTGCAAGCAATCCCCTTTTGTTTGATTCGCTCGTAGCAAATCCACTGTTCCCCTTGTTCTTTATCCTTTTGTTGATCGAAATTGCGATGAGGATCCTATATCTTGACGACTCGGCTTTGTGTTGTCTTGCATTGAGTCATGCTTCCGGAGCCACTTACCCCCTATTATTGGCCGTTCTTCCGGTTGCTGGCTTGCTGTTGCAGTCGCTCGTTTGAACTGGCTTGAAGTTCCGGTCGTTTGAATGATAACAACGCGCTGTCGCCGTTAAATTTAAATTTGAATTTTCCAAACAATTCTGGGTGGGCCTCAACCTCAACGTCAGATCCAACTGCTCATTATCCACCGCTCTCCTCCTCCTGTTGTCATTGCGTGCTTGTTGCCATTGCCGCACTGTTGACCTTGTTGATTTTCACTGCCTCCTATTCCATCAGCTATTAATGGACCTTGACGACGCTTCCTTTTCTTCAGCATCCTCTTCAGCATCAACTCCTTCAACAGTACCAGCGCCATTCTTGTTCAGTCCACCAGGATTCAGACAAGCCTTCTTTGATTCTGATCCAGTCATCCCACAATCTGATCCTCCAACCATACCTACAGCACCCTTGACCACAGCTCAATTCCGGGAGCTCCTCCAAACACTTTGGGAAATCCAAGGAAAGGACCAAGCTTACAGAAGCACCTCGGCTTGGAGGTATCGACCACACTGGAGCCTGGACAGGATCTGCATCAGAGATGGAGTGGGAAAGGAACTTCAAAGCACCCTATGCCTCAGGGGTTTTCATGGAGGCGACCATCTAAAACATCACACCACACTCCAGCCAATTGAATTGGCATGCAAGAAGGGACTGAAGGATTCCCCCCATCTCTTCGTCCTCCCGTGTGTGACTACTCCTGCTTGACTGGTCCATGCCTGCTGGATCCATGTGTTAGCTCTCTTATAACAGCACATTTGAAAGTATGATGACTGGGCATGGAATGGAAGGGATCTTTGAGCTTGTTGTTGGTGATCTTGATACTAACACCATTAACAAAAATAATATGTTCACCGGTCACCCCG